AATTAATTTGTAAATGAATATTTTATGGTATATACCTGAAAGATAATAAGGATTTTTTTTTTTTTTTGGTTGAAAATAAAAAGTGCTTATGTATGTGTAGCACTGTGAATCAGTCAGGATTTAGTTGCAGAGAATAGAGTTTGTTCTAGAAGTTTATGTAGGAAAATACTTATTACATGGCATTAGTGGCTTACAAAATCACGGAGGTGCAGACAAAACAGGTTTTGGGCTCATGTTTAAACTTTGAAAACAGCTCCTGGTGGCATACCTCAACTCTGGTTTCTAAGGGAGCTGTGGCTCTCTTTGTAGATCAGGAGACTGTTATAGGGTGGCAGATTGTGGCCTGCAGGCAAAATCAGGCCTATCACCTGCATGTGAATGTCTCACAAACTAAGAATGGTTGTTACATTTTTAAATATTTGAAAAAAGTCCAAAGAAAAATAATGTTTTGTGGCACCTAAAAATTAATAAATTCACGGTGGACACATTGGTGAGCACCTGCAGTCTCAGCTACTTGGGAGGCCAAGGTGGGAGAAGTATTGCTTTAGGCCGGGCATTTGAGACCATGCTGGACAACACAGCAAAACACTTTCTCAGATTAAAAGAGAAAAAAATGTGAGATTCAAATGTCAGTGTTTATTTGAACACAGCAATACATGCTCATTTGCTGGTTGTTTATGGTTGCTTTCACACTACAGTGGCAGTGTTAAATAGTTTTAACAGAAACCCTATGGCAAAATATTTGGTATCTCACCCTTAACTGAGAAAGTTCTTAACCTCAGAGAAAGCTCCAGAACACACATTTTAGTGCCACTGCAAACAGCTACCTCTACTACTGCTTGCTCCACAACCATACTGTAAGTATTATGACCAGGCAAATAGATGTTACATGCGCTGCCTCCCAACAACCACCAGGATAATTACTGGATACTGGGATCTCTGTCCAGCACTGCAGCTAATAAATATATGTATATCCTTGACTGTGCGGTCTCTGCTTCACTTCTGCTTTACAAAGCTTGGGCAAGGCCAGGCGCAGTGGCTTACGCCTGTAGTGCCGGCACTTTGGGAGGCCAAAGCAGGTGGAACTCTTGAACTCAGGAGTTCAAGACCAGCCTGGGCAACAGAGTGAAACTCTGTCTCTACAAAAAAATACAAAAATTAGCTGGGCATGGTTGTGTGCACCTGTAGTACCAGCTCCTTGGGAGGCTGAGGCAGGAGGATTGCCTGAGTCTGGAAGATTGAGGATGAAGTGACATGTGATCATGCCACTGTACTCCAGCCTGAGTTACACAGTGAGACACTGTTTAAAAAAAAAAAAGTTGGGGCAAGTAAGTTTGATTGGCTGAACCGTGAACCTGAATTACAACAAGAACCTATTTGCTTAGGAGTCTGTGGAAACTTTGCTTATTTTGTTTTATAGCCTCTGTAATACATGAAGGCACATTACAGAAAAAAGGTACAATGGATCTTGAGCAGCAATCCCCACTATATTTATCATATGTAGGCTGCAAAAATTTGGAACATACTCTTTGTTTATTAAAATGATTAATTTTTTTCTTAATTCTAATTGAAAGTCATTGGTTGGTATTGCTGTAACCAATTCTAATCATGTCATAACCCTAAACATTGATTGCCTTCCATGTGGGAGGCATATCACATGTATTCTTACTTTCTTTTCTTATATTATAAAGCCAGTGTCACACTTGTCTCCATTTACTACTAGGGAAAATGTAGCTTAGGGTAGTTTGATTTACTTTTTCTGAAGTCACATAGGTAGTGAATGAAGGAACAGAATTTGAAACCCATATTTGCCTGATGCCAGAACTTTTTTACTGCCACCTATTCTTGCTAGTCTGTTGCTTGTGCCTATAATGCAGCATTTTTATGAATCAAACCAGAATTTTTGAAAATCACATATTGAGGCTATTTAAACATTGTTTCTTTGTTCTCATTGCCTTTACAGAAATTTCAGCCTCTTGTCTTCATTTCTTCTTCAGTAAAAGGGAACTAATAAATTTTGTCTTCTATTTTTTGCAAAATGATTCATAGTTTAATGTAAAAGGTCTCTGTAAGTGTGTAATATGCACAGAATATAATGCTTAGACAAAAGATTGTAGACATTTTAGTATTGATATATTATGCATTTATATTTTATGAGGAACACATTTAAAGCTTCAAGCACAATATTCACTGGAGGGAATAAAAATTTTCTCTTAGCAAACTGACAAGAAACAGAGACATTGCCTTTAAAGTAGCAGAATATGATAAATCAGGCCAATCAGATAAGAATTCAGGGATACACTTTCTGTGAGAATATTTTGGTGAAAAAATATTTTTACTTTAGATCATTAGCCACAATATCTGAACTTTCTGAAGTAGTCTAAGTATTTTCAAGGCAAGGCCTTTGGGAGAAAAAAAGGCATAAAAATTAGTGTTTTGAGAGGAAAAGAGGAGAAGTAAAGAAGAGAAGAAGATAAAAATATAATTTTATAAGCTTCTGAAGGACTAATGTGGTCTAAGCACAGTGATGGTTACACTGACAAAGTTTTATAACAACAGCTAGCCGGGAAAAAACAAAAAAGCCCCAATGTTTAGTGTTTGCTGATTACTGTGGTGCAAATATTCTCACCTTGGCTGGTCCTAAGCTATTTGTAGTTTGACAGCTAGATGTCCAGAATTTCTGAAAATTTAGCCATCAGCTCTTGTGAGCTGGTATGAGCTGGATCTAACACACCACCGTTTAGTTTAGCTTCAGCAAAAAGTAAAGAACAGTAGACTAAGGCAGAAATATTTTGCATTTACATTTTAGTGGATATGTAAGAAAATTATTTTAAGGAACCTGAGTCTTTTTTAAATCAAAAGTGTTCATTTTATAAAATAATATGAAAGTATATTATTTTATTCACAGAAGAATAAGATTAGTAGTTAAGTACTCTTGGTATTGGAGTGAGTTTTTTTCCAAGGTTATTATCTCATTTTCTCATTAATAAAATAATTGCTCAGAACTCACTAGATGACAAAATACATTGTTGTGTTTAATTGCAAATAGTTACAATCATAGTTAACTATAATCTCGAACTCCTCTGGGCTCAAACAATCCTCTCACTTTAGCCTTTTAAAGTGTTGGAATTACAGGCATGAGCCACCATGACTACCTCAACAATAGTTTTTTATTTGTGTTTGCTTTGACAAATTCTGCTAAGAAATCATTTCCATAATATATTGAATATTATTCTGTATTTAGTATTGAGGCATCATGTTAGGATTGCGGCAGATTTGCATTAAAGAGCAGGCAAATTCTCAAAAGAAAATGTAATTACGTATATGTGGCATTTCCCCTATGTGTCAGACGTATCTAGAGTTACTAAGAATTCTTTGCAAAGATACTGCTCATGAGTCATATTTCTTGTTGCCAGTCTATTTACACCCTTGGTGGAAGATATACAAAGTAAGCATGGGTCTGTGACCTTTTTTTCTTTTTTAAGGTTCTTGGGGACAAAAATACTTGATCATTTTGTCCAAATGTTTTAAGGAAGAACAAATAGTACTATCTTGGTAGAAACAACTAGAAAATAAAGTTGTCATTGCTTTCATAAATAAAGTTATTTCATAAAGACAAAGAGCTTCCATTTAATAAAAGAGTACTGGATTTGGAGTTACATGCCTTGAATTCAAATTTTAGCTAATGCTAGTTGTTGGATCTTTTTGGCAAGCTGCTTAAACTCTGAGCTTCCGTTTTTTTTAAATGTGTAAAGTAGGCATTATACCATTTTGTGGTAGGAAATAAATGAATAAATTTTTGTGAAAATACCTAACATTACACCTAGCTATGGATCTGAAGGCTATATTTTCTGTACAAAAACTGACGCAGAGGCAGGAAATGAGAGCTCCTTAGGGATTAACTCTAGCCTGGGCTACTAATTACTGATGCTGTCCCTTTAGACTTAAAATAATTCAAGGGCAGAATGGCTGGTGTTTTCCACTTGGAAATACTAATTACAAACCAGTGAGCAGAAAAGCTTGAATATCAAGAATTAACATATACAGAGAACCAAGCTGCAGAAATCTGATTGGCTAGAATGGGATCTTAGGCTAGGCCAGTGAAATTCATTTGTTTTGTTCTGTAATTGTCTTTTAAAAATGTGCTTCTCTTTCCTAACACTTTTCTTCCCCACAGCTCCACCTCCCTGCAACTAGATTAGGTTTCTCTGATGTACTTTTCTCTAGTCTTCCTTGTGTTTCCCTGGTATAACATGCATTGCCTTTATCATCCTTCATAATCTTTGCTACCACCCAGCCTCTAAACTCCACGAGATCAGATATCATATATATCTTGAATTGTCATTTCCTGGCACATGGTAAATGCCACATGTTCCACATTGTTTATATGTATCACTTTATCCCAAGCACCTACTCAGCATACTGCTTAACATTTTATGTTATTCATGATTCAGAATATTATAGTATAAAAGTGATCATTCTGTACCATAGTTTTCATCATATATGTATAGGAAGACTGCGAGATTATGCCAGAGTTGTAATGACTCCAAAATAATAAGAAGAAATTGCTCTCTTTTTATTAAAGCCAAGTCTTTAATAAAGGGTACTGAATACTACCAGAACCATGTCGGTATTCCCAGCATGACTTTTTTGTTGTTGGAGACCATAGGTAGGTTTTTCTGAAGACTGGAAGAAACTTAGATTTATTTTGCTATTAAAAGTTGCCCAATTTATTTAATATCTAATATCTATTGAAAAATCAGTTCCCTCCCTCCCTTCCTTCTCTGTCCAAATATTCCTACAAATACGTATATTTTTCTTGTTACTTACTGAGCAGATGAAATTTAAGAAATGTGTGTGTGTTTGTGTGTGTGTGTGTGTGTGTGTGTGTGTGTGTGTGGCTGAGGATTAAAAGGAACAAAATAGCTGTTTTGATAAATAGCTAAGAATCACCTTAGAAAAAAATACCCACATGTATCTGATTTAAATGTGGTTCAGTGGTACTCACATCGGCAGCACATATTCTAAAACTGGAATGATAACAGAGAAGATTAGCATGACCCCTGCAGAAGGATGACATGCAAATTCGTGAAGCATTCCATTAAAGAAAACATAAATAAATAAATAAATGTGGTTCAGTTGAGACTAACTTAAGGAATGAATTGGTTGGTATGTAAGTATTTAACTTTAGTTGTTAATGTAAATATGTTTTTATATAAAACAGTGATTTTTAGGGTTCGTTGAACTAAATTCAGAAGTATTGCAAAGTAATTATTTCCTTTAAAGCACTATAAATTTAATGAAGGACAGGTGTACCATTCTAAAGTAGTTAATACTGTCTTTCGTTAATATGTTCTTGTAAAATGTTTGCTTTCTGTCCATGTATTTTTAATTTCCATATTGTAATGTATTTCATCTTGCTTTTAAATTTTTTTCACCCATCACTATGTTTCTAAGGTGTGTCCGACTTAAATGGATCTGATATATATATAGTTATGTATCAACGTTGGTTTGCATATTCTTTTTCTCAGTGATGGACCTCTTAAGTACCCTCCAAAAAATACCTGCCAATGAAAGAATTTCTTCAGAATGTAGATGTAGGAGAGGAATGCAACATGCCAAGTGATGCAAAATTGCACTTTAGATCCAGTTCATTTTTTCATCAGTTGTATATGTAGTTTCCATCCCCATATCTCAGGACACAGCATTTTCCAGCTTTCTGATTGTTGATTGTTGCTAATCTATTAGTTGCAAAGTGGCATTTTGTTTCAGTGTGCATTTCTCTGAATACTAACTAAATTAAAACATCTCTGTGTTTGATGGCCTTTCAGGTTGCTTGTTCATATTTTTTGCCTTTTTTTCATTGAGATTACTAAATTTGTCTTTTTTTTGAGTATTATTTGTAAATTCTATATTGTAATTCTTGTCAGTTTTAGATATTTTAAATATCTTCTATTGTGTTCTCTCTTTTTTTTGTTGGTTTACAGTGTTCCTTTCTGAGCCACAATATTTAATTTTGAAGTAATTACATTCATCATTTTATTTTTATGTTTGGTAAGTGATTTCGAATTTATCCTTTTAGAGTTCTTGATTCATAAGAATATGTATATTCGCTAGGTGCAATCGCTCTCTCCTGTAATTCCAGCACTTTGGGAGGCTGGGGCCAGTAGATCACTTGAGGTCAGGAGTTGGAGATCAGTCTGGCCAACATGGTGAAATCCCATCTCTACAAAAATACAAAAAAAAATTAGTCAGACTTGGTGGCACATGCCTGTAATCCCAGCTACTTGGGAGACTGTGATAGGAGAATCGCTTGAACCCAGGAAGCGGAGGTTGCAGTGAGCTGAGATCATGCCATTGCATTCCAGCCTGGGTGACAGAGCGAGATTCTGTCTCAAAAAAACAAAAAAAAGTATATATATATTCTTCTGTTAGCTTTATAGTTTACCTTCATATTTGGATCTTTAATCCATTTTGAGCCCAACTCTGTATGTGGCTTTAGGTAGGAGTCTAGTTTAATTGTATTCTAAAATTAGTGAGTGAGTTTCTCAGTACCATCTACATGATTGTTATATATTCTTCTCTTTGACAATTATCATGTTAGGTTCTGATTAGATATATGAGTCTGCCTCTGAGATTTCTCACCTCTACCTTGGTCAGTTTGTTCTTATATCATTCTGCCACTGGTTTTATTACCATGGTTTGGTAGAAGGTTATTTTCAGAGTCTAAAAGTTATATAACTTAATTTTCAAGTCTCATGATCATTGTTACCTATTATGTTTCCTAAGTACATTTAAATTATGTTTATCACTCTCACTAGAAACCATTATGATCCTTGAGATATATGTATTATAAATTCTTGATCAATTTATTTAATTATAATTAAATGTAATTTCTTCAGGGTCTCTTTTTTCCCATGTTATTTAAATGCTAGATTTTGCTTTTTAGGAGACATCTGGATTTGAAATTAAATGGATTGTTATCTTGTTTGAAATCTGAGAGTATAAGTGTATATATACTCTAAGTGTGTATTAAAGGGTATGAAAAATTTTAAATCAGTCAAAAATTAAAAGGAAGTGAATATTTTTATAATATTGAGAACTACATTGGTGTAGCTCTCAGTGTTTTTGAATGACTTTGTGTATGTTCTACTAGGAACATAAATACATGCATAAACCCAAACCATCTAAATGTCTTGGAGTGACTCAGTTTTGATCATAGAATGACTTTGTTTTGTGTAATTTCACAAAGAAACAAAAACTAAAAGTAGCCTATAGCTTTTTGAGTGCCAAGTCTTTGTGTTCTTTGTTCTCTACCTAAAACATTTTCTCAACTCAAATTGTAATTTTCAGCATGTAATTTTGAGACACCACAAACACACATCTATATTTTATTTTGATCATTAAATGAAATGTTATATCTGCTTTTTAGGAGTAGTTAGGTCTTTCTATGGAACCATTTATTTCATATAGTTTGTATTTTCTGTTTAAGCTGCTGAATTTAAAAACCTGTATGTTGGAAATACAAAAAGTAGATCAGAAACTTAATTTTAACCTCTAAATGCTAAACCTCCTAGCAAATATTTCAGCTAGAAGATTTCAGTTGTATAATCTTCTCTTTTCCCCAGCTGTATTTGAGGTGTTAGTTGTAAAATGTAAAAGGAGTCAAGTAGAATGAAAATAACAACTAGGTATACTTGATCTTTCAGTAATGATATGAAAAGCAGTAATTTTTTAGATTGTTCTTCAACATAATGAGAGTTAGGCCTTATTATGGAATGTTATAAAAATAAATTAGCCTAGGACATAGTTCCCCACTGCCAGAGGGGTTCTATGCCAGTTTATTCAAAGTAGTATTTTATATTTTATTACATTGCATTCCTTTTAAAAAGATGGTGAAACTTACCAAGAAAAAATATGGTAAACTGATTTACACTTTGCAGAATTATTTACTTCAGTTACTTATTTCCCCAGAAATTAGAGATGCAATATAGTTCAAATATTGTCACAGTTTCAGATAGATTTATATAATATATTAAATAGCTAACTGATAAGAGTAACATTTCTTTTCTTATTCTTCCCCAAAGGCATTTTTTATAATAGGCTTCATGTGGTCAACAGTGAAATGATATAATTAGGACATGTCTGTTTGTAGTAATCATTCTTACATTTTGATATGGTGGAAGTTGACAAAGACATGCAGTTTTTTTCTCTCCTTTTATGTACCCCTCCACTTTTCAACTCCTTCAATGAGAATTTATCCCCCAACCATAAGAATATAAATACATTTTTATATTTCATTTGTAGACTATCTAATGCAAAAATTATGAGGGAGGCCAGGCATGGTGGCTCGTGCCTATAATCCCAGCACTTTGGGAGGTCAAGGTGGGAGGATTGCTCTTGCCCAGAATTGGACACCAGCCTGGGCAACATAGTGAGATCCCCAAACTCTACAAAAACTTAAAAAATGAGACACGTGTGCATACCTGTAGTCCCAGCTACTTGGGAGGCTGAGGTGGGAGGATCTCTTGAGCCTAGGGGGTCGAGGCTTCAGTGAGCTCTGATCATGCCATGCACACCATTCTGGGTGACAGAGTGACATTTTGTTTCAAAAAAAGAAAGTTATAAGGGAAACAATAATACTCTGATTAATAAAGGGTATAAATCCACTAACAAGTAATTTTTGTGTCCCTGATAAGTCATACTAGTATCACCTTTTATTTTAAAGTATGTTTTTTAAAGAATTTCGTAAGTTTCTTAATCTTTTTCATTTATATGTCTCTAAAGAGTGAATAAAGAGCAGACTATATGTACATATTTAAAATCATTTGAATAGAGCAGTTTGTGGAAAAGTTAAGTTAGGTGTCGGCAGGAAGATTCTCTGCCTCATTCTATCCATCCATTTATCCATCTATTCTTCAGTGTGTCAGGTACTGTGCCAATCACTAAAAGTTGAATGTAAAGAAACAGGTTACTGACTTTACACTAGATTTGTCTTCAAGGAGTAGTGGTGGAGCTGTGCATTTATTGGAGATACCCTCCATAAATCCTAACATGCTTTTATTATACCTGTGGTGGGTTGAGAAATAGCTTCAAATGGGACCAAACTAGAATATTGGCTGTTGACTGAGAGCCTTGATGTGGATCCTCAGTGTTTGTTTTTCTAGGTGATGAGGATTACATATGAATTTGGGATGAGCGGATATGAGATAGTGGCACAGACGTAACAGGCATTTGTACAGAGAGCAAAGAGCTGTCAAAAGGCATGACTTCAAGTTCCAATCATACTACTTAGTAACAGGAAAAGTCACCTTTCATTTCTGAACCAACATTTCTATGGAAATGTTTTGAAGATTGCGTGAGATAATGTTTCTCACGTCCTTATCTTTGAGTATAAATACTACTGTACAAATTTATATACATTAAAACAAAAATAGATAAATCTTAACTTTTTTTTTGGAGACATGGTCTCGTGGTCTCGTTCTGTCACTCGGCTGGAGTGGAGTGGTGCAGTCTCAGCTCACTGCGTCCTTCGCACCCCAGCTCGGCTCAGGTGATCCTCTTACTTCAGCCTGGGACCTCCGACATACACCACCCTGCCTAACTATTTTTTTGTATTTTCAGTAGAGACGGGGTCTTGCCATGTTGCCCAGGCTGGTCTCGAAGTCCAAGCTATCAGCCTGCCTTGGCTTTTCAAAGTGTTGGGATTGCAGGCATGAGCCACTACACCTGACTTAACAATTTCTTTTATTTTATTTTAAAGATCATATTCTAGTTAGAGGCCAATTAAATTGTTTCCCGGAAAAGAAAGTCATTTGAATTCAGCCCTCAAAATAAAACAAATGTATTATTTGATAGGTCGAGAAGAAGATTTGGTGAAAGGAAGAGTATTTGCCTAAGATATGGCTGTCTTTCTTGCAAAGTACTTTCAGAAATAACTGTATTGCTTTATTTATTTATCTTTATGGTATATTTGACATGAAGCAAGGGTAGTATTTTTTCCCTATTTTTTAGATTTAAGAAAATAATTCACAGGGAAATATTTTATTTGCTATCATAAGCACAAATCATTCTGTTTCCATACAGGCTGTGAATGAAGAGAATATTA